AGCACCGAGGGCGAGTTCAGAGGCCACTCCAGAGCTGTGGGCCTGCCCTCCCCTGGTGCCTCATCAAACGCGTGTCGCGGTGCAGAAATTACCAATTAGTCCCAACCGGCAACTAATTCCTTCTAATGAACTCGCCATACGCGGTGTTTAAGCAGTTTGGTGTGTGGGTTGATTCCGCAGTTAGGCCTGGCTTCAGGCTCACAGTTTTCTCTGTGCGAGTCGTTCCCGTGTGACGCTCACAGTAAAAACCCCCAATAAAATACTTTATCTGCTGAAGCCTGCAATTTGGAAATGCCCCCTGCGCTGTGTGTAATAGCATGGATTGCTGTGGTTTCCTGTGGATTCCTGACTCATTCCGGAGCACGTGTGGGATGGCGGATCCAGCTGCGGCCCGTCCTGGCACAGGTAAAACGCAGTGTCCCAGGCACTGCGGGCTTAGTGCTGCTCTGCGCAGGGAAAACTTGGTATCACCAAGTCCTCCTGCCGTCATACAGGCAGAATTAATAAGACCAAAGAGATTGTTACGAAGTAAAGAAAAAGCAAACCCCAAAATTCGGAAAAGTTGAACTGAAGTGCAAGCTTCAGATTTAGGAACGATGCATTATCTCGAGAAAATCACAATCTCTGAAGGTTAATGGGTAAACTGAAAAATTCCTGAACTCAGTGACTCTTTCCCAGAATAGTTTTAGCAAGTATTACTTCTAATACAGTAAGGTTTTGCAGCTGAAGCAAAATCCAGACTAGCTAAGGTGTAATGTACTTTTAATTTAATGAGCGCTGGTGTCTTTTTAATGTCAGTCCCCAATAACATTAGTAAATTGTTCTAACATGAGAACATACTTTTGCATTTGTGGTTTTATGATTTTCATTAAAATTCATTTGCCAACAAGATAACCATTTAAACCTGGTTTGCACTAGAGTGGAAATCCTGTTCCTCTTGTTTGGTGTTTTTTCGGTTTTGTTTTTTTGGTTTTGTTTGATTGGTTGGTTTTTTTAAGAACAAAAACTAAGATACAGAGCATTTACACCTGTTTGTTGCCCCCTATATTTTAAAAAATGTTTTAACCTCATAATTCATGTTGTATACCAAATCTGTTAATGCCAAATATGGCTTTGGTGCCATTGCTTCACTGTTTCTCATTTAGCGCCTAAATGATTGGTTATTATTTATAAAAAACTAGTATTATCTGCCAAGCATTAAGAGTTTTCCCAACATCCACTGATAATGTCTGAGGAATTCTTTCAGACTACATGCAGCACAAAAAAGATAGAAGCATAAAATTAAGTTTACAGAGAGAGAACGTGCACCTGTGAAGAGGCAGAAAATATCCATGTACCTGATATTAGCCAACTGTATCACATAATTACGATTTTTCTCTAATTTCTTAATCCAAGAGGTGTGTCTAGGAAGACCATCTGGATTTTATGGGAAGTTTCTTGTTGGAAGGCTGATGACAAACCAGTGGCTGGTATTCTTGGCAGGGCAGAGAAGGTGGCATGTGACAGGATCACTCTGTCTGCCTTTCTTGCCTCGCTGCCACTTCTAAGTTTTTACTGGGTTTTACCTTTGCTAATTTGCTCTCCCCTAATAAATGGATGACAGGGCCTGTAACAGGGTATAGCAATTCAGGGACGATTTTGGGAAATCACAGTTAATGGGAAAAAACGAAATTAATGCAGAAGAGACTCTCAGAACTGACTACCTTTGGAAGCAGGAAAATTTTAGGCTCCAGGATATTTTGTTTCTCTCCTGTTAGGAATAAGGATCTTCAACCTGGAATAGAAAAGGTAGAAATAACTATAGTATATTGTGAAAACAGAATGAATGGGAGCTGCAACAATTTTAGTCAGACTTTCAGCTGACAGCTGAAAGAGGAATAAATCGATCATAAGTTATTAATTGAACCTTTTTGAAGAAGAAAACCAGTGTATAAAGGATGAACCACTTTCATATCAAACATACATAAAGAAATTTCCCTCTGAAGCAAAAGCCTTACAATGGATTTTATAGAACATCTCTATTTTATAGAATATTTTATTTTATAGAGTCTCTCTAGACAGCAGATTGCATAGCAGTTTCAGCTCCTGCCCTGTGTGCTGAACAAAGCACTTTCAAAACCAGCCCTGCAGACATTCAAAAGAAAAGCAGAATTGGAAGAAGTTAATTTTCCTTCCTGTTCAGGAGGTGGCAGTGGAGACACAGCATTGGAGGAATGTCAGCTGCAATTTAGGTGGCGTTTCAGAGAAGATAAAGTCAGGAGAAATTTGCTGGTCATGACCAGGCTATGTAGCACAAAGTGACAGTCCCTCTAGAAATGGCCATTTCAAAGTCAGGAATGAGATGAACAGTGAATAATCAAATTAGAGGAACTTAGTCTTTACAAAACTCAGGAAATTCGTTTGAGTAGTTAAAGCCACTTCTGCTGTCAGCCCTTATGGTATTTACTTTTGTTTATGTGAGAGATATCCTTCTTTAATTAGACTTGCAATGCCAAATGTATGCACAGCTTGTGCAGTGAGCAACACACAATGCAACTATGTTTTAGATTGCTTTGTACAGCAGAGTACATTACAATTCAGTGTTACTGTGCTGCTGGGACACATTTGTGAGTGTATGAAAATATATATTCCAACCATTTGCTTCAAAATGCAGTTTTGTAAGGTCCCTCTTTCAAATGCCTTACCACAGGAGGTGATCCATCCTCACAGCAGCTCTTCTGGAGATATAGGTTTTATCTGGTTTTCTCATTGTTTGGATACAAAAGTTAAAGCAAGGGTTGTCTGCCTTGCCCAAAGCCTCAGAAACACTCCAAGGCAGAGCCAAAAATTCCTGTCTTTCAGTACTTCCAGTGCTGTGCTTGCTTTCTTTTAATTACAGATATATTGGTTTTGTTTTCCTCCCTCTGGTTAGTGTCAGAGGGTGGCTGATTAGCAATTGTGCTTTGCTATTCGTTGTTTATGGATTTTTACAGTTCCATGGTTTGATTTTTATACTGACAGATTTTCTTAGGTTCCCTTGGCTGTGTGGGAGCAGCTGTATCTTTGCTTAGGAGCTCAGGGTAATGACAATACTATCTCTTTATAAGGGACTGAACTGATGGAAAAACCACCATGAGAATTTCTAAGATATATCAGGCAGAATATATTATTCATTTCACAAATCACTGTAACTACTGATCAAGGGAGCCAGTGTCCCAGATTGTTGTGCATATGTAAATTCAAAGAGATAATAGGAGCTTGGATGTGTGGATCAGCAGAAAGACAAAGTCAGAACCCACTGACAGTTGTACTCCTGTTCCACGAGAGTTTATTTTTATAAAGGAAATTTTAAAAATAGTTTATTATTATTATTATTTTTAGATTTTGCAGTAGAATAGAAAAAATGCAAAAAAATATTCAGCCAGGTGAAAAAGAACAAGATATGGTTATGGCTTAGGGACACATTTTCCTTCTTTAAGAGTTATTAGAATTTTTCTTAGAAAAGCAGTGACCCAGAAACTTTGTGTGAGCATGGGCACTTGTGTTCATTCCCATGTGCACTGGGCAACAGCTGTGGCCAGGTAATAGGGTGGCTCTCCCTGAGCTGTGGCAGACTGGAACGGCCTCTGCTGCCCTCAGCGTGTTCCAGGTGTGCTGAGGGCGACGGGGACACCGTGCTCTGAGCAGCTGGGAGGGCGACGGGGACACCGTGCTCTGAACAGCTGGGAGGGCGAC